AGGGTCACTGGACCCAAAACGTTAACTCTGATTTTCTCTTCACAGATGCTGCCAGACCTGCTGAGCTTTTCCAGCAACTTTGTTTTTGTTCCTGATTTACAGTATCTGCAGTTCTTTTGGTTTTTAGTTTATTTTATTGATAAAGTGTAAAGTCTCCTTGCCTTCTTCTTTGATGCTGAGAAAACTGAGAAGCTATAACAGAAACTATGCCGAGTTAAAAAACAATCAAATGCCAAAATTCAGTGTAAGAAGGTTCTTCTTCGTTGACCCATCAAATATTTAATGATTTAATATTTATTTTTCTAACTTTTTTTAAACAATCAACTAGCCGGCTAAAATACTTCCTGAGAAACAAATGAAGGGAGATCAACAGTAAAATGATAGTTAATTCAAATTTGAACTTCAAGTAACTGAAGATGTGAAGCACTCACAAGAAACTTTTAACAGGTAATTACTATTGCCAGTACTGTCATTAGCTTTTAAGTCTTTTTTAAAACAAAAAAAAAGACTCGTGGGACGTGGGTGTCACTGGTTGGGCCAACATCAGAAATGTAAAGTGATGCACTTGGGCTGGAAAACATTGAAAGAGGGTACAGGGACTTGGGTGTATATGTGCACAGCTCATGGATGGTAGCCACAAGGACAGTGCAGTTAAAGGATACAGTATTCTCAGCTTTATTAATAGAGGCATAGAGTACAAGAGAAGGTAGGTGATGTTGAACTTGAACAAGATACCTGTTAGACTTCAGCTGGAGTACTGTGTACAGTTGTGGCTACCACATTATGGGAAAGATGTGAATGCTTTGGAAACAGTGCAGAAGCAATGTACAAGAATGGTTCTAGGAATGAGAAATTTCAGATATGAGGATAGATTAAAGAAGTTGGGAGTGTCCTGCTTGGAGAAAAGGCAGCTGACAGAAGATTTAGTGGAGTTTTTTTAAATCATGAGCAGGCTGGATAGGACAGCTGTTCCTGCTCGAAAAAGGAAGAAGAATGAGATGACATTGATTTAAAGTGACATGCAAACAAAGCAGGGGTGATAAGAAAATTTTTTTCACACAACAAGTAGTTAGGGTATGGAATGCACTGCTTGGAAATGTGATACAGGCAAGTTCAATTAAGACAATCAAGGGTTCTGGACGATTATTTGGATAGAAATGGTGTGCAGGGACTTAGGGAAAAGGTGGGAGACTGGTACTAAGTGACAGAACCAGACAGGCACAATGGGCTGAATGGCCTCCTCCTATGCTATAACAATTCTGTGATTTATTACCCATCTCTATTTGCTCTCGAGAAGGTGGTGTGAACTGCCTTCTTGAACTGTTGCAGTCTGTATGCTGCAGGTAGTTCCAAAATACCATTAGGGACAGAATTCCAGGATTTTTACCTAGTGACAATGAAGGAAGGCAATATATTTCCAAGCCAGGGTGATGAGTGGCTCAAAGGAGGACTAGTAGGTAGCGGTGTTCCCATTTATCTGCTGCCCTTGTCCTTCTAGATGGTAATGATCTCGAGCTTTGAAGGTGCTGAATTTCTACAATGCATCCTGTAGATGGTAAATACTGCTGCTACTGGAGTCAGTGGTAGAGGGAGTGGATGTTTGTGGATGTGGTATCAATCAAGTGGGCTATTTTGACCTTGATGGTGTCAAGCATCAATACTCATCCAGACAAGCTGAGCATATTCCATCACACTTCTGACTTATGCCTTGTATATGGTGGACAGTCAACGCAAATGCAAAAAAATTCTGTATTATGTGAAGAATCATACTTACTTTTGATCAGATTCTTTCTGGATTTCTTTGTTAATTTCATCAATTTTTTGCTGAAGTTTCTTTCTTCGTTGCTCTGGTGGAAGATTGCTGAAGTCTTCTGGTCCTGAACCCTGTCCAAATTGTAATCACCAAAGTCAGTGTCTCAAGCAGGATTTATATTTTTAGAGTCATACTTCTGTCTCGGTGCCAAACTTTAGCAAAGCGACAGTCATTTTAAAAAGAAAACTTTCCTTGCCAGGAGTTCTTGTCTGTCAAAACTAAAATAATTTAGCCTTACTGCCATTATGCAGGCCATTTGCCTGCTTTAATAACCAGTTAACTAACACTAGATACAGACATTCATGCAGTACATTTTTGATTTGACTTGATGTTAGTGTACTGTTTCCTGTAACATTTTGTACTTAGTTCAGAAAATAATTCCTAACACAGTGGAAACTCTCACATATATGGATATTTGTGTGCATTTACTAATAGCATTCCAATTTCTTCATAAAGTATAAATGTCGCTGCCAGTTGAAATTCTTTTGCAATTTTGCCAGTCTCCCACTATCAAAGGATCTCCTGGAAACACTAGGGAATTGAAATGTCATTTCTGATGGCTATTTTACAGTGTGTGCCCCAAGTTTTCAACATTGGATAATGCAATTGGAAGAAATCTTCCAGAACTGGAGGTAGAAAGTGAACCTAATGACTGCCTGGGCCACATCTCTTCTGGACTATAATTATTTCAGCTCTAGACTGTACAACAAACAGTTAGCCTAGTCGACAGCTAAACCAGTGTGGGCAGGTTATCAATTGGAAACAGTGCCCTTGATGTTTGCACAACTGAAGGACTAAACCTGGGGCTGGTGGGTGGCCACTGAGAATCACCATTTGCCCTTGCTTACAATCCCCATATCCCATTTTCCCCATAAATCCTGAACACCAGAAACAATCTTCTATCCCCTCCATCCCCCACCACCTCAACCCCAAACATCATCATCGCTGGGAGTCTGTATGAAGGAGCAATTTTAGCGCAGCCATTGCATTGCCATGGGACTGCTGGAGTAGCTGACCTCTGAACTGGCTGCCAACTCTTGGCAACTGGCATTTCCTTAATTCTGGTAGAAAGCCCAGCTGTCCGCTGGAGGTTTGTTGGGCTGTGCCATCTTTGTAGATGATGGGTTTCCCTACTCCAAACTCTTCTACTTTTGGACTTAGTCAACACTTTTTTTTTGGAAGATCCCAACCACATTACGGGTAAGGGTGAACCATAGAAATGAAAGTTGTTAAAAATATAAGCAGCTGCCTATAATCATCAAACTAAATGTTGCCATAATTGGGAGAAATCAAAATAACCTAACCAGGTGAACTGATTACTTCAGATTAATATCAGGAGAAATCTAATGTGTTGTTCAATTACTCCCTCATCATGAAGGAAGTACAATCTCAAATTCCATTTTCATACCAGAAAGATACTTTTGTACTGCCTGAATAGGAAAGGATTATATTAAAAGTAATGCTGTCAATTGAATATTTTTTAATGAATCACATTTATGAATATTGATTGAGTGACAATAATTCCAAAAGTAGCATCGACTAATTGATTAGTCTTTATCCTCATCTAACAATGAGTTCATTTTAGATGCTATACAGCATTCATTTTCCCTTGTTAATCTGCAGAGTTCCCTTTCTGATGCATGCACTTCCACAAAATTTAACTTAGTCATTTAAAACTAATCAGTGATGCACAACATTTTCCTTATGTAACTCTATTTTTCCTGCACCTTGGAGAGCAAAAATGTTCTTTCAAACTGTGAGAAATAATATTCCACAATGTAGATTTAGTTGACAACAATATGCACATTCTGAATAACTGAAGTTTTCTAATCTTGTTCTTGTGTCTCTTTTGTGCAAGTAGTTCAGACTTGATGCATCTTGTGTACACTGTAGCATGCACTGCTAAAAGATAACAAGGGCTTTCACAATATCTTTATTGTGGATACCATTCCACATAAAAATTATAAGGAGACAAGCCCAAAGCAAATAATTTAGAAGGGAATACTGATATTACAGATAAGTAACTCCTTCATTTGTCAGCTTGTATTGTCCCCACATTCCTATTCCAAGAAATTTAAACCACTGGAGCAGTTCTGGTTGACTGCTTCTGATAGAGGTGCAGAATTTCTTCAAAGTGGGCATTCCTGAAAGGGATGTGGCAGTGAGTTAAATACTAGGCAAAAAAAATCAAAGAATTGCAAATGTTGGAAATCAGATACAAAAACACAAATTGCTGGGAAAACTCACCAGGCCTTGCAACATCTGTGGGGAGAAAGCCGGTTTTAAACCCCAGTTCAGAAGAAGGGTCAGTGGACCTGAAATGTTAACTCTGCTTTCTCTTCACAGATGCTGCTAGACCTGCTGAGTTTTCTAAGCAATTTCCGTTTGTTTCTGATTTCCAGAATCTACAATTCTTTGGGATTTTTTGCCTGCTTCTGAGTCAGGTAACCAGGCATGTGTTTGACATTCAGGAGGGAAAGAAGGCAGCTACTCAAAAATACTCTTCATATAAGCTGGTACGTTTTTTAAAAGAGACAACAAGGTGCAGGGCTGGATGAATGTTTTTTAAAAGTGTTGGTGTGGAGAATTCTAATGATGTCACCACTTTCAAACAGTGGCATTATGTCTGCCTGCTTCTTCATCCCAGATTTGCTATACTGTCAGCATCTCCTGTGTACAGTCTATGAAAATTACTCATGTAATGTTGAATCCAAACAGGATTTTGAACACAGATGCCTGACTTTAAAAAAGTCTGATAAAGTTTTAGAATCCATTACCACACATACAATGTAGGATGCTGATCATTCAAGTGTTGCTCTTGGCATGTTAGCTATTCAAAAGGGTATAATGAGGGTGAAAATACAAAAGGTAGATCCTGGTCAATGTTCCCAAAGTCTTCTTGATGGTCAGCTTTACACATCTGGTAAGTTTGCTCTAAGCTCTGCCAGATATCGATTATATTAACACCTCACTAAACCCACAACATAATTGTAGATGAAGGTCTACATTTACCTGAAATAAATTCTCACACATAACAAGTTACTTCTGTGAAGATTCATTTCGAAGGTTCATTGCTTTCATCATGTTACTGTGTGTATATCAATTCATACAATGCTTTTAAATAAATGAACGTCGGCGACCAAACACTGTTCCAATTTTGAATTAGATTAATTCTAAATTGAATATCAATTCAGTGTATGGCAATTTTAAAATTTTTGCATAGCAGTTTCATGAATAGGTGAAGTTACCGAAACAGGCATTCCAGTAATGCTGAAATTACCATCAATGATCATTAGAAAGGTGTGACTGGAAATGCTTTAACGATTTTTCTTGTGTGAACGGAGGTGCATGCATTAGGCTAGTGATAAAACTTCTAACACCTTTGTCTGCACCTTTAAGTGATCTTAATTACCCTAAGAAGCTAACTCATCTTTTAGAGAAACTGCAGAAATTTTAACATTTTTCATTTTTGTTTGGAGCTTGAATTCTACTATGCAAAACCAAAGTATAGAAACTTTCAGATATCCAGAAGGAGCTTGAAAGCAGAGGTAGCCATGGGTGCCTGGAAGCAGCAAACTTTCAATTCAATGGTTAAATATATTGAGCCGATTAAATTCTTTATCATCTCAAACATGCGCTGCAGTAAGTTCTGCATACTACATTATATATTTCCATTTCAATACACAACATAGTAACTTAATTGTTCTGTGGTGCACTGAAATTTACAATCTGAGCATTCATGAAAATCATTGCAAGTCCTGAATGATTGATTGTTCAGTGCGGACAAAAGAAATTATTTTGAACATTTAATAATACTAATATACTATTATTAAACAAGTTAACTAACTTAAATGAACAACATTTTTTACATGGATGTAGCTTAAGTAGGGTTCCCATATATTTGGCTTCATCTCTGCGTTATGAAAAAGGCTTCCACCAGAGAAAGCATTACACTACTGTAAAGAATTAAACACAAATGTCACAAGGTATAATTTCCAATGTGACATTCTTGAATAAATAAGTATGTCCACATAAAATTCAAAAGTCTGATTTTAAACCTCAAAGGAGGACTGTTAATAAGGCTGTCACACTTTGACTGCAACACAGAATACATTTTAGCAAATTCTTTATTTTTGCGCTATTACTGCAGTGTATTCCACTATGATTCCCTTTACATCCCTGAGCCTCTTCTCAGTGACTCATTCATATAGATGGCTAGTGTATCAATGCAAACATTGGGCAGAAACGTTTATAACTTCCTATCTGCTATAAGTAATGTTCATTTGAAATTTTTTACTTGACCGTAATGTCACTTCTTCAACGATGTCTTATTTCTAACTTATTTTTTAACCTCTGTAAAGTAATGCAACTAGTTTTTATTTCTCTTTTATATCCAAGATTTGTACCTAGGCACTTGTACCTAAGATGGCGCATGACTGGCAGACATTGTAAAAGCTTTTCACTGTATTTCTACAATGGAGTACATGTGACAATAAAGAATATTCTGTCTAGGCCAGATTATTAAGAAGTGTATTTTAGTCGTGATGCCCTGCCATTATTCAAAGTTACACTGCCTCTGGCCATTAAAGGCCAACAAGCAGTAATGGATGGTTACACGGCACGGAGTGTGGAGGAATGGGGAAAAAAGCCTGAAAAAGCATTGGCCAGGAATTGTACAAAACCAAAAGATGCTGCATTTTCTTAAATGTCCTAAGTCTTTTGTAAAGTAAGTGTTTAAAATCCTGCTTTGCGTCTATGTAATAACACAAGGAAGAAATAACTTCAAAATCATTTTTGTGTTATTTTGGAACCTAACTATTTGTACATGTCACTTAAGTTAGTGCCAAAGGTTTAGCTTTCATAAATTCTAATGGTATGCTCTTATTTAGGAGGACTTTGTGTCAGATATAGCCTTCAGATTTGTCCAATCTTGAAATCTCTCTGTACAAACATGGAGAGACAGTAGAGACAGTATAAACGAAAGAGAGTAAAAGCAAAATATTGCTGGAAATTGGAAACAAACAAAGAATGCTGGAGAAACTCAGCAGATCTAGCGGCATTTATAGAGAGAGAAACTCAGAGTTAATGTTTTGAGTCCGGAATGACACTTTTTCAGAACTTCAGAAGAGGAGTCATATTGGACTCGAAATGGTAACCGTTTCTCTTTCCACAGATGCTGTCAAACCGGAGTTTCTCCTGCATTCCCTGTGCTTGATATCAAATGAAGAGTACTATTTTCAAGTGTGTTCAGGAGCAAAGAGACCTGGGTGTATATGGACATAAGTCATTAAGAGTGGCCAGACAGGTTGACAGTGCTATTAATAAAGAATATAGTATTCTAGGAGCTGGGAGGTTATAATGAACTGCTTTAGGACATTGGTTAGACTTCAGCTGGAGAATTGCATCCATTTCTGGGGGCTATACTATAGGAAGGATGCAAATACATTGGAGAGTGTGCAGAAGAGGTTTACAAAACATTTCAAGGGATGAAACACTTCATTTAAGTGCAAAGCTGGAAACATTGAGGCTGTTTTCCGTGTAGAGGGGAAAGATAATGGGAGATTTGATTGAAGTTTGGGGTGGCACGGTGGCTAAGTGGTTAGCACTGCTGCCTCACAGCGCCAGGCACCCGGGTTTGATTCCGCCCTTGCGCGATTGTCTTCTCGTGTCTGCCTGGGTTTCCTCCCACAGTCCAAAGATGTGAAGGCTAGGTGGATTGGACATGCTAAATTGCCCATAGTGTTCAGGGATGTGTAAATTAGGTGGATTATAGGGCGATGGGTCTGGGTGGAATGCTCTGAGGGTTGGTGTGGACTTGTTGGGCCAAAGGGCCTGTTTCCATACTGTAGGGATTCTATGATCTAAGTTTCCAAAATCATGAGAGGTCTATACAGTAGACTCATAAAAGGATTGAGAATCAGACGGTACAGTTTTGGTTTTTTTGCAAAAGAAGCAAATGCAAGTTGAGGCAAAAAAACAAGATCTTTTAGGATCTGGAATACACTGCCTGGAAGGGTGCTGAACACAGGTTCAATTGAAGCATTCAAGGCAGCAGTGAATAATTATTTAAATAGAAATAATCTGCAGTATTAAGAGGAAAAGACAGAAGATTGAGACTTAAGTTAAAATGCTTAAAGAGCTGGTGCAGGCACAATGGGCTACATGGCCTCCTCCTGCACTGTAATAGTTCTGAGATTCTGGCTGCATGCAAAATTATGGTACAGAATTATTGAACACTGAGCGTGAAGGACCTTTTTATTTAGGTTGAGCATTTAGCTTCATGGTTATATATTATACTTCTTTGTTTCACTTGACATTAGAACTTCAGAACCCCAGTATATGTGAAAAGCCCAAAGCTACGGCATCCCTTCGAGCCTTCTTAACTTGATCTGAGTGTTAGTTTCACTCTAAAAAACATGTCCCTTCATTACCTGCTCTTTTGCCAAAGAGGAAAAAATATCTCACATTGGAAGTATTTCTTGAATATTCTTTTCAATGTACAGATGAAGCAATTGCAAACAAGGTCAATTTAGGATTTATGTGTTTTTGAGTTTGTGAAAAATTGACGAATGCTATCCTTTTTGGATAACCTGATTTTAACTTTGGGAGACAAATTCTCAGATTTCTAAAGAATGCTGTTGTTTTGAGAGCATTGCGTCAAAATATGTAATGTTTTGCTAAGTGTTTGGTAGCATTATCAGAAAGAAATAACCAGTTTTAAGCAAATTAACTAATATTGAACATGAAAGGATAAATTAATTTTTGACATTCAATAACAGAGTAGTTTCTTTTCAAAGTATTTCAGACATGATCCGTAAAACAAACAAGAGACACTTCAAAAAAATGCAGTTAAAATTCTGACAGCTATCCAGATAATATGAATAATACAAGAGCATGACTGAAATTCATGTCATATCAATTGAATTCATGGAAACGTGTTTTTGCTAGCAATTTCTGTTAACTCTGTCACCTTTATCAATGCGGTCTCCCCAAATTTTGACTCTTGCAATTCCATTATTCCGTCTTTGTAGGGTGAATCCATGGTTTAAACTGCTTAAACTTCAATAACTGATATTACAAGAGAAATACTTTCCTCAGTATATAAGAGAGAAAAATTCTAGCCTAGCCTCCTAACAAAGGTTTTAAAATATTTTTTCTTCACCTTTACAAAAACAGGAAAATAAAAGTTACCAGCAATGAATGATGAATATTCTGATTAATATATAACTGGTATGCAGGGCTTCTCAAGGTCAGTGACAGGCAAAGGACTTAAATCATTGAGTCATACAGCATGGAAACAGGCCCTTTGGTCCAACTAGTCCACACTGACCATGTTCCCAAACTAAACTAGCCCTATCTGCCTGCATTTGGCCTATATCCCTCTAAAACCTTTTCTGCTCATGTACTTATCCAAATGTCTCTTAAACATTCTAACTGTACCTGCGTCCAACACTTCTTCTGGCAGGTCATTCCATACACTAACCACTCTGTGCAAAAAAAGTGTAAAAGTAATTGTAGGCCCAGCTCTGCATTTGTGGAAAGAAATTTTTAAGTCATTAGTAAACTTTCTATTTTCAATATGTGCATGTACTGTGCTCTTTGGAATGTAGAAAATATTCTGTGATGATCTAATCTCAATATAGACCACATGTGAATTATTTGCAGATTGTGTGATTGGATTAATATGCCAGGAGCCTGCACGTGGACAACTAAAATTAACACAACATGTGCAAACTTGCTTCAATACACAAACTTACCACAGAAAACACAGATAAATTATTTAGTTTATTAGCATTACAAATCAGATATATGAAGATCAACAGAAAAAAAGTGTTGTACTTTTAAATGCACATGTTAGTTGCTTAAAGTTTTGGTTAAACCAAGATACCATGATCACCTCAATTAGATTCCAGGCCTGTACAAAGTTTTCTGACAAAACAATACATTGATGGATGAAAGATAAATTCAAGGATTGTCACAATTAACTTCGCAGGTGGTTAACAGGATTGGTAAATCATATTAGAACTTGAACAGACACACAAAATGCCACATTGCTTACCAGTTTGAGAGAAAGCTTCACGCAAAATTGGAGAGGAAAGGTGGAAAAAGAAAAAAAAATTGACAAGTCAATAGAAAATGATTACGCATTTGTAAATACTTCTCAAGAATTATCTGTATTGAATGAACATTGTGAACATTAGTGAACCTGGTTCATAAGGAAGCCATCTTAAAATGATCCATGAAGATGTGAAAATTATACTACTAAAGTACTACTAAAATAACTGTACAATATCAGTGCAAGATGTGAACAGTGTAATACAAGAACAAGAGAGATTGGAACAGTTAGGTCATTACGTCTATTCCTATTACACGCTGTGTACAATTCACTCTATTGGAAATTGTCCAACCCATTTTACTTTCAAAAACATGATTCTGTAAATCAAAAGACTAAACAAAATCCTAAGACATCAATCTAACTTGCATCCACTGTTATATTTTCATAATTTTAGTGGCGTGGGGTCCATCAGACGCTGCAAATCAAATATCATCCTTACACCCCAAACTTCTAGTTGCAAAGCAAATGTTCTCTTTGGTCTTTCTGACAGGCGTTAATACAACTGCAAATTTAGTCTAAAGCAAGTTTATTAGTGACATTCAAAATGACATCCCAGGTCTCACATTCTCTTTGTCACAACCACTATTTTCATCTTTTAGCAGCTCCTTCTCATACCATTATTTAATTGAAGTGCCTTCAGAATAAGTACTGGAAAATACGCATTAGTTATTTATAGATCACTAATTAGGAAAAGTGCTATTTACTACTTGCTTGTGAACTACAGAGCCATACATCTTAATGAAAAATAAACATGATGTTCTTTTCTGTTACTCATCCTCTGTTCTATACAGTATTATAAGGACAATACAACATTGTTTAAATTCCAGACAGCTCAATTTTCTCATTTTCAATCCTTTCTGTCTTTCATCTCAAAGTATAGAATTAAGACATGCCATCTTTCATAAAGAAGGAAATGTTGATATCTAGTACACCAACAGTGGTCTGATCAATAGCAACGTGTCAAATATATTGTGATTGATTTCGGAGCCTGTAGACTACTGCATTCGAAGGCAAAGTGCTCATGATGAAAGTTTAAACTTGTAAGTACAAATTATTGGAATGAGGATATTATTACATTTTCTACCATGTTATTCAGATAACTTGCAAGCACCACACGAGAGTCAAGCAGAGTCTTTTCCACCAATTAAAAAATGTTCAAAAAATGTAAGATTTTCAGTAATGTTCTAACTATTGCTGAAATTCAAGCCCACAGTTATTCCCAATATTACTCTGTGATCAGATTACAATGAATGCCACTTTAACTAAACAAGACAAACAATGATGAAACACTTTGCTTTCAAATGATGCTTTAATCACCAACTTGGCTAAAAGCTCGAGATACTTACTAACAAAATTGAGTAATTTTCGGTGATAGGCAACTCTGAGTTAAAACCTACATCAAACTTTGGTTTTTACAGTCAAGTGCTTAACTTCTATGGTTGCATTCTATCAGTACTATGGTTTCTAAATAAACCAGCAACCATCAAAGAGAAATTTAAGTATCTTTCCCCCCACCGGGCTTTATAAACACAAGTGTTTTAAAAATAGACTCTTAGATTTGAAGAATAAGTGCTGGATGGGCTGAATGGTATTTGTTTCCCATGCCCTTATGGTCAGTGATTCATAGTTTTAAACTGAAGGGTCAGTAATGAAAGCCAACATATAATAATTAAGTACAGCCAAGAATATTGCTCTGCATGTCACAAAACTTACTGCCAAAATCATATTATTTACATTCGAATAACATTACAGAATGGCCACCTTATGAACCTTAGCCCAGAACAATGAAGATGTAACATAAGCTTTTCTAACAGACAAACTACTTGCACAGCACAAACATGAAAGCTTCACATTTAATGTACTACTTATCTCGCACCCTGTGGAAAAACTAAATGGAATTTTAAAACCAAAATTTAGGTAAACTAAAATCTAGTACTATTAAAAATGCTTTTAAATTGCTTTTTAAAACTTTCAAATGGAAAAAAAATACTCCTTAAAAATAAGAAACTAAAATGACAAAATAGTATTTTTCTGTATCAAACATAAACTATTCTTAAATTAAATTCAATGAAGTAAAATCCTTTTAAGCCTTTCAAACTGACTCTTTGTTTGTGGATAATTCATGTGAGATGGAGTCAGAATAACAATTGTCAGGTATTTAAAACAGAACCAAAAATGAAGTCAACACAATACATAACCAAATCAAACAAACAGAACTGAACTGAAATCAAGGAAACTGGGGATAGGCATAAATTCTAGCCAAGCCAGTGATGCCCATTATTTTAAGAATTAATTAATTTGGAAATGAATGACAAAGCTTCATAAATATCAAAATTCTAAGTAAACAAAAATGTTACTCTACACTGTACATCCTTCTGGTATTAGATAACTGCACATTAAACACAAAGTATTTATTCTGGATTCAAAACTTAATTTACTTTATTAAAATATGCAAACTGAAATTATAAATTATTTTACGCAAGATTCAATTATAGCTAACATTACTGTAAAATATTGCAAAGTTAATGCATTACCTCAGAAAAAGGTGTTTACAAAAAGTACCAGGACTAGCCACAACCCTGATATTAGTTGAATGTGATCTTACATATTACAAATGCTGTTCAATAAGTTAATTCATCATCCAAAATATTTTAACTACAGCTAGAAAATTCAGAAATGTGAATTAATGCCCCAAAAGCAGAATCCATATCAGCATGCCTTCTTAGAAATTACACCATAAATTGTGTATTTGCTGTCATCAATTTCAATTTTTCTTTCATTCCACTACATTTCTCTTTTGGTTTCTCTGCAGCATTATTCCCCTTTTGAAAACATGGGTAAACAGATGTGCTTACATCACTGCTCAGAGATAGCAACAACATAGGTATCCAATATACTATAGATTAGAAGATCAAAGTACTGACCTATTATTCCAATCCTTCATTAGGCGTAGTGAAGGAATCTACATGAAGTGAATGAGTTTCCCAAAGGCAAGGCAAGATAACAAATTTCTTCTATGCAATCTATGACACCCAATTTTATCTGTTTGGTATAATACTTGGGCTGCCTGCATTCAACACTTACTCTTCAAAAGTGCTATTCATCACGTTAAATCTGACTGTAATTTATTGTTGGCTGGGCTTTTTCAGATTTCTGGCATAATCTATTGTGGATGATCTCAATATTTTCAGAAAGATGACTTCATTCTTTTTCCATAGAAATCAGCGGGAACCCTGCAACTCAAATTAGCTATATCCTTTCAAGAATCATCTCAATGATTTATATATACCCCAGTAGCAAAAATGGCTCAATATAAACCAAGGACTCAATTGCAATCTGTTCGGAATTATATTGATTTAAATGAAATACTCTTTTCATCTTGGATGCAGCTCTATATTTCACTTTATGCCATTTATGTGGCCGCAGGCAGATTTGAGTAACATGTTGAACTGGTAATGCCAGCAATGTAAAAAGAACCCCACTATGAGTTTAGCTCAGCTGTCTGTAGATCATAAATTCTGATCCAAAATCTTATCTCTAACACAACAGCTAAACACTTCTTGACATCTACCTCACCGAGATTTCAGGCAAGACTTCTTCATGAACAATATTTTCCTCATGCCCCCTCTCTCCCACTTAAATTTAAACCCTTAGAATTATTTTCTACTCTCCAAAAAATGGTATATTCACGGTATGAAATTAAACTTTCCATTTTAAGCATACAATGGCAAGATCAATTATTCCCAGGCCAATGCATTAGAAGTTGAAATGCAGGGAAAAACATCCATATTGCGCCTTTCTCCAGCCTGACATGTATTAGTGGAGCCCACCTTTTAAAAAGAAATTTAAAATTGGCATTATCCTGGTGGCACTGGATTAATACCTAAAGAATCTAAATATCTGCTCATTAATATATTTTTCAAATCCTGCATCAACTTTTAGGGACTGAATTATTGAAATCTGATGGGGACAATGAGATCGTGGGTGGGCTTGGAATTTCCCACCTCTGGCCAGTCAAAGCACACCTGTCTCAAGGTCAGTTTCAAAAAAACTGGACCAGTAGTAATATAGCACAATGCTTATAAGTGGCAGATAACAATTTAAGCAATTAAGGAGTTTATTAAGGCCACTCTCCTCTGCTGACAAAGATGGTGGTGTGGGGGCAGTGCTCCAATGGCATTTTACGCTCTACCCCACGCCATGACTTCAAACTTGCCACAGCTCCCTTACACGTCCTGACCGGTTGGGGCAATTTTATTTGAAAAATTGCTGGAAATTTTGAGTCAGCGCTTTCACCTTGAGTTGCACTGTGCCCTCATTGGCACTGACAGGATGACACTTTGTCCGTGCCTCTTAATGACTCTGCAGAGTCAACACCTTTGTATCATCCTTAATTGGACATTGAAAATCTCATTGAGATCTACTTCTGGCACAGTGTGGGGTTGGATTGGAAATTATTCTCATGCATCTGTCTTGACTGCAGACTGAAAATTCGGTCTATGGTGTCTTCATAAGATTGAGAATTAGTTCTAATTTTTATTGCATTATGGAATAACACCCATTAGCATCTGCAGTGATTTTCAAAACATATTTTGTACTAACTTTGTACCTAAAAGCAGTGAGCTTCAGTGTCCCAGAGGGAAAAAAACAATTGTAAATCTGGTGAGTGCAACATACTGGCCTGACTTATCTGGTGTCCTTCAAAACAGAGGTCCAGTACAATCATTTGCAACTATCACTGTTTTTTAAACTTCTGAGTTATTTCATCAAGTATATGGCTGACATGACAGACTATACAGCTATTTTCAACAGCTGCATGAATATACTTACCATTTGGGGTCTCTGGATAACAATTGTAAGAAAAATTGTGATTAATTTTTCTTGAACTCTTTAGGAGGATGTGCTCAACTGTTGAAATACATTAAATATCCCAGTTCAAATACACATTTGATTTTTAA